CAAGGCTTTGAAGAATCTAAAATCTAAAATATATTTTGATTTGTTTAACACTTTTTCGGTTTCTACATGATTCCATATGTGTTATTTCATAGCTGTGATGTCTTCCCTATTATTCTACAATGTAGAAAATAGTAAAAAAATAAAGAAAAACCCTTGAATGAGTAGGTGTGTCCAAACTTTTGACTGGTACTGTACATGCTTGTACACTTATGACATGAATTTACCTTCATAGAACTGACCCTGTATATAAACTCAGCAAAAAAAGAACCCCGTCTTTCAAAGATAATTTGTAAAAATCCAAATAACTTCACAGATCTTAATTTTAAAGGGTTTAAACACTGTTTCCCATGCTTCTTCAATGAACCAAAAACAATTAATGAACATGCACCTGTGGAATGGTCGTTAAGACACTAACAGCTTATAGATGGTAGGCAATTAAGGTCACAGTTATGAAAATGTAGGACACTAAAGATGCCTTTCTACTGACTCTGAAAAACACCATAAGACTTTGAGCCGAGTAAAACCTCTCGCTTTGCCTCTTCCTCTCTTATGCAGTCGGCAAATCGGAAATGTTGTATCCCCATAATGCAACACACTTTGAAAGGCAGGGGTTTGACTACATGGGATACATTTTATGTCAGAATTGACATTTCGTAGTAAATTAGACCTTACGCAGCAGGTTGGGAGAATTAACGTCGCAGGTTAGGATAATTTGGTTACGTTTTGGAAAAGGGTTAGGGTTGGCTAAAATGCTCAATTTGACAAACTGTATTTCCTCTAGTCTTGACAAAAGTGATCCACTTGAACGCGCCCTTTGTTTATGGACCAGTTTGGGTTATGTTAAAAATCCCAATGTTGCGCAAACAACGCTGACACAAAAAACTTTATTAACCATACTGTAATTTTGACTGTCATGTGTAAATCTGCATTATTACTGCTGGACACGTCCTCTAGTTTCACCATAGCACTTCTGCTTTCACATAATCCTTCAAGAAACAAGCCACTTTTAAAAACTAATATAAAAGGACGTTAAACTACAATTTCGCCACGCTGAGAAAGTACGCAGAGACAGCGCATTTTCCCAGCTTACCATGTGATCACGGTTCTTCTTCTTCTTCTTCTGCGGGTTTTATGGCGGACTACAACCCAAAAAGGTGTATTGCCACCACCAACTGTACGGGTTAAACCAAAACAAGGTAAAAAGAAAATCCATATGTGATAGGGAAACTAACTTAATCGACCCAAATAAAATATTATACATTGACCAAAACAAAACTCCCACTTCTTCCTTCTTTCAAATCTCCATATCTCCATTCTCAGGCTCTAGGGCCTGAGGCGGTGGTATGGCTTGTGCCAATACTCCATGTAACTCCTGCGCCAGGAAATCTTTCAGACCCAGGAACCGCTCCGCCGCATCCACAATGATATCTATCTTCCTGGACCTTCTCTCCACCTTGGCAGTGCAATTAATCACCATAGCTATAAAGGCCACAAAGTCCACCTTCTTAACTTTTAAAATGCTAGGGTCCTGCTGGTGAAAGGCAACCCCTGCAGCCTGCTGTGAAGGCCTATCCACACCATGGACTCTTCAGGAGCACCATTCAAACCCTCAACCCTTTTAACAGCTGCTGCATATGAAATGCTCTGGACAGCCCTGACTTTGGCCACCTCATTCTCTTTCACCCTTGTCGGGCAATCGAAAGATGTACAGTGAGGGAAAAAAGTATTTGATCCCCTGCTGATTTTGTACATTTGCCCACTGACAAATATATGATCAGTCTATAATTTTAATGGTAGGTTTATTTGAACAGTGAGAGACAGAATAACAACAAAATAATCCAGAAAAACGCATGTCAAAAATGTTATAAATTGATTTGCATTTTATTGAGGGAAATAAGTATTTGACCCCCTCTCAATCAGAAAGATTTCTGGCTCCCAGGTGTCTTTTATACAGGTAATGAACTGAGAATAGGAACACACTCTTAAAGGGAATGCTCCTAATCTCAGCTTGTTACCTGTATAAAATACACCTGTCCACAGAAGCAATCAATCAATCAGATTCCAAACTCTCCACCATGGCCAAGCTCTCCAAGGATGTCAGGGACAAGATTGAAGACCAACACAAGGCTGGAATGGGCTACAAGACCATCGCCAAGCAGCTTGGTGAGAAGGTGACAACAGTTGGTGCGATTATTCGCAAATGGAAGAAACACAAAAGAACTGTCAATCTCCCTCGGCCTGGGGATCCATGCAAGATCTCACCTCGTGGAGTTGCAATGATCATGAGAACGGTGAGGAATCAGCCCAGAACTACACGGGAGGATCTTGTCAATGATCTCAAGGCAGCTGGGACCATAGTCACCAAGAAAACAATTGGTAACACACTACGCCATGAAGGACTGAAATCCTGCAACGCCCGCAAGGTCCCCCTGCTCAAGAAAGCACATATACATGCCCGTCTGAAGTTTGCCAATGAACATCTGAATGATTCAGAGGAGAACTGGGTGAAAGTGTTGTGGTCAGATGAGACCAAAATGGAGCTCTTTGGCATCAACTCAACTCGTCATGTTTGGAGGAGGAGGAATGCTGACTATGAACCCAAGAACACCATCCCCACCGTCAAACATGGAGGTGGAAACATTATGCTTTGGGGGGGGGGTTTCTGCTAAGGGGACAGGACAACTTCACCGCATCAAAGGGACGATGGACAGGGCCATGTACTGTCAAATCTTGGGTGAGAACCTCCTTCCCTCAGCCAGGGCATTGAAAATGGGTCGTGGATGGATATTCCAGCATGACAATGACCCAAAACACACAGCCAAGGCAACAAAGGAGTGGCTCAAGAAGAAGCACATTAAGGTCCTGGAGTGGCCTAGCAAGTCTCCAGACCTTAATCCCATAGAAAATCTGTGGAGGGAGCTGAAGGTTCGAGTTGGCAAACGTCAGCCTCGAAACCTTAATTACTTGGAGAAGATCTGCAAAGAGGAGTGGAACAAAATCCCTCCTGAGATGTGTGCAAACCTGGTGGCCAGAAACGCCTGACCTCTGTGGTTGCCAACAAGGGTTTTGCCACCAAGTACTAAGTTATGTTTTGCAGAGGGGTCAAATACTTATTTCCCTCATTAAAATGACAATCAATTTATAACATTTTTGACATGCGTTTTTCTGGATTTTTGTTGTTGTTATTCTGTCTCTCACTGTTCAAATAAACCTACCATTAAAATTATAGACTGATCATTTCTTTGTCAGTGGACAAACGTACAAAATCAGCAGGGGATCAAATACTTTTTTCCCTCACTGTAGCCTCATGGTTCCCACCACAATTGCAACATGTCACATTTTCCTCACTTTTAAAACACATGATATGATCTTTTCCACAACTTGGACATCTCAGCTTCTCCCTTCTGCAAACACTTGAAACATGATCACATTGGTCGGCCTCTGCACTTGAGTCGGGAGAGACTCCATATCAAAAAACAAGAACAGATAGACTATACTTTTATACCAATCACCACACGATTCATCCGACGTGCATCAATCACTCCAGGAATATTTTTCATCTCTTCAAAATCAACTTCCCACAAGATGCCAGATATAACCCCCTTAAGGGGTGCCTGTTCCGAAGAGACACAAAATCTAAACATGCCTGCTCTCGTGATCCTCACAGCCTTCACTTTACCTAGCACTCTCTCCACCAGTTTGGGTATCTCAAATGGTTTCTTCAAGATTGGTAATCTGCTCAACTGCTCTTCATTAACAAACCGTACTCCTACTAGATACGAAGGGACATTCTCATCACTGTACACTACTTTGCTCCGTTTTCCATTATTTTAGACAATACTCCAACTCTCCTTGATTCTACCGCCATTGGATTCAGAATCCCCTTCATCGTCTGCTTCCGCCGTCATTTCTTCTTCGATGAGGTTTAACGGCGGCTGGCATCCAATATGTTGCGTTACCGCCACCTACTAGACTGGAGTAGAAATCCGGGATCCAGCTGATTTCTTTAAGAGACGTCTGGAAACTATGTATCAGGATTTTGTGGCCATTTACACAGATGGTTCAAAAGATCCAAGGACAGGACGTACTGGGTCAGCATTTGTAGTGCAGGAACGTATTACAGATCATCTGGCTGTATATACGGCGGAGCTGATGGCCATACTGTTGGCCTTGCAGTGGGTGGAGGAAGTCAAGCCAGACAGAGTAGTTATTTGCTCTGACTCATGTGCAGTGTTAATGTGTCTCCAGTCCTTTAGCTCACGTAGCAGACAAGACCTGCATTATGAGGTGCTACAAACCCATGGCAGGATTAAACAGATGGGTATTCAGATAAGATTTACTTGGGTTCCAGCCCATGTGGTGGTGGAGGGGAACGAGGCAGTAGATGCACAGGCTAAACAAGCACTTAGTAGTGGGGATGTTGATGTTGAAGTGTCAATGAGCAAGGCAGAGGCTAAAAGACTGATATATACAGTGATGGTGCAGAGATGGCAGGAGCTGTAATATAAATATTAAGGGAAGGCATTTATTTCAAGTACAGAGGAAAGTCAGGGAGGGGAGGACGGCAGGAAGGAACAGAAGAGAGGAGGCTATATTTACAAGATTAAGGATGGGACACAGCCAGTTGAATAAGACACTAAGCGTGATAGGAAAGCATCCATCAGGAAAATGTGATTATTGTCAGGAAATAGAGACTGTGGAGCATGTATTTCTACAGTGTGGGCAGTATCAGAGGGAAAGAGAGAGGATGAGATTAAGTATGAGGGAGAAGGGGATATTAGTTTAAAGAGTATATTGAGTAGAACGTCATTAGATATAGTATCACATATTTTGTTGTCTTTTTTAAGAGAAACTGGGTTGGCAGGTAGGATTTAGTTTATCCCTGTCTCTGACCCACACTCCAGTACGGTAGGTCGCGGTAATGCACCATAACGTTGGATGCCAACCGCCGATAAACCCCACTGAAGAAGAAGAAGAAGACGAAGAAGAACATCCTACCTCCGCCATTTTTTCCCGCCGTGATCACTTATCAGCTGATTCGTGACGTTTTACAAGGAAGGCGAAACTCGACAGCAAAACATGGTACATTTACTTGCCAAATTACCTCCTGAAGAATGTCCAAAAGTAAGTATAATACATTCATTACTGTAATTTCCTTGAATGTTTGATTCATACATGTGCCGCATTTTTTCACCACTGTCCTGGAGCGAGACAGTGCAATATCAGGAGAACCCGTGCATGCGTTTACTTTTTTACATAGCAACAGGCCATTGTAATAAATGCCATCTAGCAGACGCTTTTAGACAAATTTACATACAGTCATGCGTACATACATTTTACGTATGGGTAGTCCCGGGAATTTAACCCACTATCCTGGTGTTGCAAACTCCATGCTCTACCAACTGAACTACATAGTACTACAGAAGGAGGAGAAAGGATTTCCGTTATGTTTACTATCCAATGGATTAAATACTCTTTGCTTGTGCATTCAGATGAGAGACCATACAACAGAGGCTGTTGAGTACCATTGGGGCTGTTTTTATAATGTGAAAACAGCATATTATGCACTCAGTCAAGGGCTAAAATGTGATCTGTATTAATGTTGTAACAATGTTGCTTACAATGTTGTTGCAAGCTCCTCAATTCAGATGTATTGTGTCTTCATGATCCATTGTGTATTTTATGCATCTAACCATCAGGAAAGCATATCAATACTCAATCGTAAACCGCCCCTATAAATAGTCCAGTAGGTCTGAAATGATATGGTAATTACTTCAACTTTACTTATGATAGGCTGTGTGGCGCTTTCATTATATTGTTTAAACCCATCTAATCCTTTCTGATCTTGGATTGCCTGGGTGTAAGTGTTGGGGCTCGATTTGGCAAAGTGGGCCCATGTCATTGTCATAAGCACACACTGAACCAACAATTGACCAGCAGAGGGATCATTATGCTTGATCGTAAATCCTAAGCATGCAGATAAGTCAGTCACTCAAAAACACTATGACCTCCACACAAACATGGGCATGGCATTGTTTACTGACTTGTTTTGGGTGGGTAGATTAAATCCCAGCATAGGCTGCCATCATCATGATGACGATACACATTTTCTCTCCCCCAGCTATTACACAGGGTGGTGGACGGTGTATGTGGGCGGGAGTACCCTCGGATGGCAGACTATGGTGACATGTGGACCCTTGTAGAATGGATGGAGCTCCGCCACTCCCTCTCCTCTCTGTTCCGGCACGCCGTCGGTAAGAAAACCCCAGACGAAGAGGTGAGATGTGAGTTTGGAGCAGTCTTTTTGAGTTGTATCATGCATGTTTGACTTAGAGTCATGTTCCATGCATGACTGACCATTGACTCCGATGTGATGGGAGTTGGGTTTCTAAGGTGTGCAATGCAGTGACTCACTGGTTTGTGAAGGTTCTATGTCAGTTATAGTGTGTTTGACTCTTCAGTGTGTATTGAGTTTGTGTAGGGCCTCTTGATGGCTGAAACATAGTGAGTTTGTTAGGGGAGTATGAAGAGTATAGGGTTAGGTCAGTGTTTCTTAATCCATTCTTGGGGGATGCTCTGGGGGTGCACATTTTGATTGAACCAGCTGTGTTTTTGCAGGGCTAGAACAAAAATGGGCACCCCCTGTGTGAGGGCTGCAGTGTGTGGTAGGTTGTGTTTGTAATGGCTGCAGAGTAGACCGTGGTTTGGGTGTGTCAGGTGTATACAGTGTGTTGGTTGCAGTGTTGTTTGGCACTCAGGAGGAAGGCAGGCATGTTTCAGACTCTCCTGAGATAGGCTATCTACTAGTGACCTGTTTTGTGACTCAGGACTGGAGGGGCCATTGAAAGTTCAACCACGCATCAATCAGATTGTTCCACTAGAATGTGTCTTTGGCACAGCATAGTAACATTCAATGCCAACACCTAGGTCTACATTTTCAAGTGATAAAAGTTACATATTAGTTATTTCAGTTATTGACAATACTTATGAACAATTACAGGGACACACATACTCATCTGTTTCAGTTGAGAAACTGATTAACTGAATGTTTTATATGTGTAAATAGAATTACAGGCAGACTGAAACAAGACCAGCCATTTGATATTCTTGTAACTGCCAACCTGTTCTGCTTTGGGCAGGTGCTGGCATTGTTGGCAGACGTGGGCGGGGGGTACGGGGAGGCCGTGCTGACCGTCCTGAGGGCCAGACGGGAGGAGATCCGCCAGGCGCTGGTGGAGAGGACCAATAACGTGTCCTGTTCCACCCTCCAGGACTTTGACTGGCAGATAAAGGTGAATTCCCTGGACTATAATGAGGAGACAACAATCTTTGTTTGATTGGTAAACTGATTGATCAGGACTCCCTTCAAAAATAGATGTTCTTTTTATCTCAATGGGACATACAGTTCAAATGAAAAAAGTGGTTATGCTTTTTTACCGTCCTGTTGTTTCAGCTGGGTTTTACCTGGTATTTATAAATTATGTGACATCAGTCATGAATCCGGAGGGAAATGCTGATGTGTATGGTTCACTACTACTACTGCTGCTACCACAATGATTTATATATACTTGAAATCCTAAGCCTCTTGCTCTCTGTTCAGCTGGCATTGTCCAGCGATAAGATCTCGTCTCTCCAGACCCCTCTACTCAACCTCAGTTTGGACGTGAAGAAGAACGGGGCCCTGAAGCCTGTGTCTGTCGAGATGAACCGAGAGGAATTACAAACACTCATCAGCTCAATGGAGGCTGCCAATAAGGTAAACCTTCAGGGACACACGTGCATACACACACACGCACACATATTATGATAATTAGGGTATTGTCATTGCCAATCAAATGCATTTGTGTCAGTGTGTTGTTTGTCCAATGTTTTAGTGGTGCATAGTTATGCACTGCATGTATGTATTAGTGCTCGCGCGTGTATGTATGCGTGTGTGAGAGTTTGGCCAGCATCAGTGGAGGGTGTGATTTGGATGGCTTGAGAACAGTTTTCTTGGCAGTTCCACCAATAGTCTAATATCATTATTTTTTCACCTACTGATGTCAGGAGCATAATAGCTGGTGATTTCTGCCAGCTTTTGCGCTCTCATTCACTTAATAGGACTGTTCTGTCCCAGTCTCTCCATATTCCCCCTGTCCTAGAAGACATTTGTGTGTGTATTACAGAAGGGCTTTTATCCAGAAAAATATATTTGTATCCCAACAGCAGTTCATAGTCTGACTGTATGTTATTTTTCGTGTGTGTGGTTTTTGCAGTGCTGATAGTGTACATTTGATCCTAGAGAGCCCATATGATTTTTATTCGGATCCCCATTAGCTGTTGAAGAAGGAGCAGCTATTCTTCCTGGGGTCCACACAAAACATAGAACATGCCAAAATACAGAACACTAATGGACAGGAACAGCAACACATTTAAACTAAGAACACTACGACTAAAGAATTTAAAATAAGTGAAAATAAATTAATAATACTATGAATAATGAGTGTGTGTGTCTCTTCACAGTCCGCATTGTTTCTTGAGATGTTATGTTTTTAATTTTTTATTGATTTTATTGCTTGCCTGAGTTGCATAAGGTGGAAGAGAACTTGATGTAGTCATTGCTTTATACAGTATTGTGTGTATCCCAGCTTCTGTTGTGGACTTGGGGAGTGTGAAGAGACCCCAGATTGAGTGTCTTGTATGGGTTTTTGAGCTGTGTGTTAACTGGCTGAAAAGACAATTTGGTACTTTCAGCACGTCAATACTTACTCCTATAGCATGGGCAGTGCCATTGAGGGCTATCTCCATTATAAAGTAGTCAACTTCTACTTCTGAGGGTATTGGCAGTTCGTAAATACACAAATGTGCATACCACTGTCTACCATGCTGGAGTGTGTATAGTCTGAACAGATTTACTGCCACCTGCGTTTATGGAATGTTTGTTCAGGAGTATAATTCATTAGATGACAACTCCTTTCTTAACCCATAGTAAGTCCCATCCAGTTGACTACTTTAAATGGTGGAAGCCCTCAATGGCACTGTCTATGCTAAAGCAGGATTTGTGGCACAAGAGCCTTCTATCCATCTCTGTGCACACTTTACATCTGTGTGTGTGTATCCTGATAGTGTGTATTTGTGTCCTTACAGGTGGTACTACAGCTGAAGTGATGGTGGCGATAGACATTTCACTCTGCCCTTTCATCTATGACTCTTATTAAGGGGACATGCTATGTCATCATAGAGGGACACTGAGCTATGATGCAGGGTCTTTCTGGAAACAGTGGTCTGATCCAGATACAACTCTTAGCCTTCAATCCCCTTAGGCACTGATTCCTACACTTCCCCTCATGAATTCAAAACCATTGAATTTGTGTAAGTATGGGATAGTAGGTGTTGCACCATATTCCTTTTATTCAATTTATTTTAAATCCATGAGGGGGAGTGAACGAGTGCACATTTTAGGGAAAAGGGTGGAGAATCGTACTGCAGCCTGAGATAGATTCCCAAGACTGCAGCAAGAAGTATTTAGACTTTTTATTACTGCATTTTTTTTTGTAATCCATTCTATTACTGTATAATAAATATTAACGTTTGACCTTTATTTGACCTTTTCTTCAATGGAATATATATTAGAGCTCTAGGCTGTCTCCATACTCAGAAATGGCTTCATTTCTTTGTCTCTTGTTCTTCCTGATCTATGTTGATTGGCAAGGTCATCCCCAGAGGCAATGTTATATATCAGACCAAATAATACCCCTTCCATTCATTAAAAAAAATGTCTGTGTTGAATATTTAATACAGATCACACTGTGTGCAAATTCTTCCTTTGCGTATGCCTGGTACTAGTCAGCATGCCTATGATGTTATGCACCAAAACAGCAATGGGGGGTAGAGTGTCATGGAGGGCCTAACTTTCCCTTTTTCCCCTTAAATTCATCACATCTGGACCACAATATGGGAGCGCTCTAATGCATTAATGTTTTAAAGAGTTATATAAAAAAGAAAGACCACATTGAAAAGTGTTGCATGAGAACCCGGTGTGTGTTCTAGTTGGGCATATACAGGACTTGCTATTACAGTAGTCTTTTTTAAATAGAGGTAACCTGACTTTGCAAGCTTGGCTAGATAGTTAGAGGCATAGAGACCACAGAGGTGCATTTTGCCTGAACACTCACGTGTATAACCAGAAGCATAATGCCCTAAAGCAGCGTTTCCCAAACTCGGTCCTGGGGACAGCTGATTCAAATAATCAAAGCTGGATGATTAGTTGATTATTTGAATCAGCTGTGGAGTGCTAGTGCAAAAACCAAAACGTGCTGCCCTAAAGCTTGTTTAGTAAAAGAGGCACGTGTCTTAACGGCCAAATGTTGCTTATGTTTTCATCATCTCACAGCTTATCCTGCTCATGTCAGACAGGGCAAAGATTTGTAGTCATTGTCCTCGTGAGGCTTTCCTAATAGGTCATGGTAACCATGCAAACTGAACTGCGCTAATATGTTACACAGGCCATAAAAATAATAATAATTCTCAATGCAATATGGTCAAAATGTCGTTCTAATGACAGCGTTACTGTCATTATATGTCCGAAGGCTTTATTTGAAGAACCATCCCAAAATTGTCACATGGTTTCGGACACGCACACACACACACTGCCCACTTCGTGGAATGAAGGCAATTAAATCCAAAACTCGTCAACTCTGAGGATAATTAAAATTGACTTCTAAATATGTCAGTACAGAATGGGTGTATACCAGCGGAAGTTCAAGGTAATTCTCCCATGCATCATGTTTTAGCACTGAATTGAAGATACAGTTTAGCAAACAGCTCTATATCTGAGACAAACTAAGACACTTTTGCAGTTAGTATTGTTAATGAGAGTGAAGCTCAGTCTTTTATTGGGTTGGTGAGATGTCAGTTATTTTATTTGAATTCTATTTTGATCAAAGTACTTACAATGTCAAACAAAGGATTTGTAGGTATGTTCTCTCTCACACGCAGACACAAACATACTTGCACACACATTCCCAGTCGCAAATGCTTGCTTTTAGATGTTACCAAGCAGAAAAACACATGCTTGCAGTACAAACACCCTAGCACACTCAATCACACACTCTCTCACACAAACACACACACTCTCCTTTACACATGAGAGCACATATAGAGCATCAGATACATTTTCTTACAGTAATTGTACACAATAGAGTTCAGTACATTTCCTTATCCCTTGGAAGCTTGAGGGAAGCCAGTTGTTAAGGCTTCCATTTCGCTACGGCCGTCCAAAGAAAATGTGTCTCGTCTTTTATGTGAGTCTCTGCTGAGTGGAAAGCCAATATTTTTTTTCAGTGGTCCATAGAATTCCATTCCACCTGAAAACAATGACAGTAACAGCAACAGAACCAAACTTGCAGGACATTTTCTGCATTGAATTCACAGATTGTCATCATAAATGCTGGAATGTCTGACCACTATCTACTTTGAATATGTATTTAGAGCATCATAAAAGTCAGTCTCAGTGTTGTTGACCACAGTTTCATTTCTTCATCTTCCCTAAAAAAGTACAAGTTTATTCTTTTAAATTCTACACACTAGTTATAAGTTAAGATAAACCCTGTGAAAATATTGAGATTCTTGTTAAAGGCACAATATTTAGCCATGAGGAGAGAGCACACTGCTACTTATTGTGTCCTGTAGAAGCCTATCTGGTTAAGCATTTTTTGTAAGCCCTGATAACACAAGCAGTTCAGATGTCTACTTGGAATCCACCCATTATTATAATAAGAAAGTAGTTACATCAAAATTGTCACTGGCCATTGTGATAGTCCCCTGTAGCTCAGTTGGTAGAGCATGGCGCTTGCAACGCCAGGGTTGTGGGTTCATTTCCCACGGGGGGCCAGTGTGAAAAATAAAATAAATGTATGCACTCACAAACTAAGACGCTCTGGATAAGAGCGTCTGCTAAATGACTAAAATGTAAATGTAAATAGCTAAGCAATGCAATAGTCATGAGCAAAAGCATTTTAGCCATGGTAAAGTACCCTGTTATATTTTAGAAGGAAACTCTACCATTGTTTATTCTGAAAAATGAAAATATGTTATTTTAGTTCCAAAGGTGAGCAAATTGTCATCTGAGAGACGTAAATATGGACTGGCCAGATCTTAATGTGACATGGCCTGCCAAACAGAGAGAACTGCAGTGTGTAAATAAAAGTTAGGATCACTTAGAATGCTGCTTTTTTCCCATCATCCAAATTGTAAGGTTCCAAAGGATGTAATATAGTCCAACCTATGCTAATTGAATTTACAGCCACATAGCCTACTTTATAAGCTTACTAAATGCACCTATTGTGACACTAATTGCTGCCCTTCAATGCTACCAAATTACACAGTTACAACACGGCTATAGCTACTTATCTTATTTGTTAACTGATATAGTACCCATTCTGGTACAGCTTTTTCTACAATAGCAATGAAACAAGTGGGAATTACAGGGAATTGTTCAGGTTTGTGTATAATAACAGGGGAGTGAACAAATCCATTGAAATCCAAATAAGGGGGAAAATAACCTCAGAGCACCGCTCCAGTTCTTTTTATGCACCAAAGCAATGAGGTCAATGGATTTCCATGCCAAATCTTATAGGTGTAGGAGACCCACTTTTATGCTATGCCAGTTTTTCTGATGCTGGAACAGTTTTCACAGGGGCCAAGGTGTTTATGAGTGGAGATAATTTAGTATAATGCTAACGTTAATGTTAGTATATCTACTTCAAGTGTTTGCCATTTAACAAATAACTTTTTGAATATCCGAGCTGCACTATAGATTACTATACTATGTGCAAATACGCTGTACAGTACTGTGTATTTGAACAGAGATTTTGTGTTGGCTGCACTTGGCTCAACCATCTACAGCATGTATTATCAGGGCTTGCACGTTTTTATGTGGTTTCGAAAGCATGGTGACATCATAAGTCATTCTTTACCTGATTTCTTTTAAAGAAAATTACATTTTACATGCTCACAGACGCTGTGAGAATAGATACAAATTTGAACAAATTTAGATTTTTAAGATTAGTCGATTTCCAATTCACTTCTGTCCTGTCCTAAATGCAATGATTGTTCAAAAGCATACAGTAGAATGATTATAATACAGGTAGGCTCAACTATGGAGCCTTTGCTAAGGTTTTTAATAAAATAAAGAAAACAGGCTTTGTTTTACAGTGCATAAAGCCAGTAAGCACACATGCACCTACCATTAACCAACAAAATCATGTCACACAATAAGAACATGCAAGGTAGCATGTTCTTCAACTCACTGAATGCCGCCTTAGTCACAAGGTGTGGACTCAACACAATGAGAACTGCCTTAATCATGGGAGGAAGAGTAAATACATCATTGAGGATGAACGTATTCATAGCATGGAGTTAAACCAAAGGAGGACTACCTTATTCACAGAGATGGAGTTCAACCAAACAAGGACTTCCTAAACCACAAGATGAAGTTTAACTCAGCAAGGATTTGCTTCATTAACAAGAGAGGGTTTAACTAAGAGAAAAATGTATTTGTTATTACCCACGGTTTTTGCAATGGGCTTTTTTTCTCTTTAGAAGCAAATAAAAGTTGTGTTACGGTCCACATGCAGAGGCTGAGAGGAAATAAGGTGAGAACAGGATTTCCAATAAATAAAATGCATTTGCAGCCTAAGAGTAACAATGTTCAAAGTTCAGACTTACAAATGCAGGTGAACACCTTCACCGCCTCTTAATTCTGTACTTATTTTCACTATTTCTATTTTGTACGGATGAATACAGCAAAAAGGTGAGAGAATTTATTAAATTATACTTCTCTTTATATATATATATATATATATATATATATATATATATAATATAATAAATTGTATTTACATTGAAAAGACATCCGCTTCGCCTTGCATTCCTCAAACAGAAGTCATACAAACGGGGCTGAATTTAATGCCCCTCTCTTTTACCCTCGCTGTACAAGAACCTAGCTAGCTAAACAAACCTCTAGCGGGAATAGCCACGCCCCCTAGTGGACGTAGTACAGCCAGTAGACCAGGTTGAAGAAGGTGAAGGCGATGGGGAAGATGACGCGGGACCACTTGTCTATGGCGTTGACGTCCGTCAGGTCGGGGATCTTGACTTTGAGCTGCGACGCCCTCCTCCTCAAACGACTCTTCTTGTGGCCGACGGGCCGGTCGAGGGCTGGTCGACCGTACAGGTCTCGGCTGGCCATGGGCTTACGGTACTGTATGCTGGCGCTGTCGTAGGAGAACATGGTGGCCCGCGGGTCGTTGAGAGCCCCTATCATCTCAGCCCCGGTCATCCCGGCCATGCCACCCATCCCGCCCATCTCGTTACGGATCTCCAGACTGGTCAGGAGGATGTTGCCATGGGCATCCACCTGTTGAGGGATATGGGAATTGGAAGTGAGGTCACAATATATTACAAAACACAACAGACCATGAGCTTTGATCTTTTGAAGTTTGGAAACATTTAAGCCCATCGTCGATTTTCATATGCCAGAGACTTCGAATACGAAACGCGAGATTACCCCCACTCCTACCCCCACTCCTACCCCCACTCCTACCCCCACTCCTACCTGCACTTTGTTACTCTCCAGTCGGCTCTTATTTTCGTTATTGGTTTGAGCTGCTTTCTCCGCCACCTTTTTCTGCAAGTGAGGTCCCCGTCCGAAGAATATGTAGTTGACGAAGGCGTACTCCAGCAGGGCGAGGAAGACGAACACAAAGCAGCCCATCAGGTAGATGTCTATAGCCTTGACGTAGGGGATTTTGGGTAAAGTCTCTCTCAAATGTGTGTTTATGGTGGTCATGGTCAGCACAGTGGTTATACCTGGGGGGAGGGAGGGAAAGGCTCAGGGTCATGGTTAGTTTAGGGTTTAGATGAGGGATCTTAAGCTCCTATACAGGGTGTGCAGGCTTTTGTCTTTCAAGACACATGCCCTAAGAAATGGGAGACTTCTGGGTACCGTAGAAACAAGGATGTGGAAAAGCCCGTTACATGACTTGATGATGATCTCGATAACTCAACCCAGTCCAAAGCTGCATTCTAAATGCATGGACTTCTGGATGGGGTACAAGGTCAGAATGCTCTGTATTAAACCAAGATGTGGGAACAAGGGGAAAAAAATCTTTGGTCTGAAGGTGGTGCATACCAATATGTTACCTACGTTGACCTGATACATACCGTATTTACATTTACCTGTGAAAATATCAAATGACTGTGGCCATCAGTGTCCGTCACATGCATAACACCTCTGAGCTCCAGGTGAAAACACTGGACAAGCATAGATCCAGAACACCAGAACAGTGTTATATTGTATTCTAGTGAGACAGTCCTCAGAAGAGCAATACACAGCTAGATAATGCCTTGGTGTGAAGTTGTCACTCAGCCACAACGCTACGTTCCCTGTGACACAGAGACTCTTGGGAGCCTGAGTTAACAAGAACAAGCTGACCCAACTCAACATGGCTCAGCACACAGGCATTCCAATCACTCACCGCTCATACACTTCACCTCATCTCACAACTGCTCACTTCATACAAACAGATGGATGTAAAAATGTGCCCTGCGTTACTGCATTAGATAAGTGTACTGGGATCACAAGATTGAAGATCAATGTTCGTTTGAGCATTGTTTTAGTCTATACGTACAATGTTTGGTCTACACGAAACTGTTACATCAAAATAACGTGAGTTTCATGTCATTATCAGTATATAAGACTAAGAGGTTTGTTAGACTTTGGTATACAGAACTATCTACACCCATGCAGGCTATATGTATGAACTGTATAAAATGATGTATATTACTCACTAAGGTGTGAGACTCATGTAAGAGTAACATGTAAAGGAAGAGACAAGCTCGTATTATAATCAGCCATACATAATCAGTTCCACATTAGATACTTAGTGGACAAAATGCCACATTTTTGCAGGTACACTACATGACCGAAAGTATGTGGACATCTGCTCGTCCAACATCTCATTCCAAAATCATGGGCATTAATATGGAGTTGGTCCCCCCTTTGCTTCTATAACAGCCTCCACTCTTCTGGGAAGGCATTCCACTAGATGTTGGAACATTGCTGCGGGGACTTGCTTCCATTCAGCCACAAGAGCATTAGTAAGGTCGGGCACTGATGTTGGGTGATTATGCCTGGCTCACAGTCGGTGTTCCAATTCATCCCAAAGGTGTTCGATGGGGTTGAGGTCTGGGCTCTGTGCAGGCCAGTCAAGTTCTTCCACACCGATCTCGACAAACCATTTCTTTATGAACCTCGCTTTGTACACGGGGGCATTGTCATACTGAAACAGGAAAGGTCCATCCCCAAACTATTGCCACAAAGTTGGAAGGACAGAATCATCTCGAATGTAATTGTATGCTGTAGCGTTAAGATTTCCCTTCACATGAAAAACAGCCCCAGACCATTATTCCTCCTCCACCAAACTTTATAGTTGCCACTATGCATTTGGGCAGGTAGCGTTATGCGTTAAGATTCCTTCACTGGAACTAAGGGGCCTAGTCCGAACCATGAAAAACAGCCCCAGACCATTATTCCTCCTCCACCAAACTTTACAGTCTGTACTATGGTAGCGTTCTTCTGGCATCCGCCAAACCCAGATTAGTCCGTCAGATGGTGAAGCGTGATTCATCACTCCAGAGAACGCGTTTCCACTGCTCCAGAGTCCAATGGCGGCAAGCTTTACATCACTCCAGCCGACGCTTGGCATTGCGCATGGTGATCTTAGGCTTGTGTGCGGCTGCTCGGGCCATGGAAACCCATTTCATGAAGCTCCCGATGAACAGTTATTGTGCTGTCGTTGCTTCCAGAGGCAGTTTGGAACTCGGTAGTGAGTGTTGCAACCGAGGACAGATGTTTTCTTTGCGTTACGTGCTTCAGCACTCGGCGGTCCCGTTCTGTGAGTTGTTTGGCCTTCCACTTCGCAGCTGAGCCGTTGTTGCTTCTAGACGTTTCCAATTCACAATAACAGCACTTACAGTTGAAATGGGCAGCTCTAGCAGGGCAGAAAGTTGACGAACTGACTTGTTGGAAAGGTGGCATCCTATGACGGTGCCACGTTGAAAGCCACTGAGCTCTTCAGTAAGGCCATTCTACTGCCAATGTTTGTCTATGGAGATTGCTGTGTGCTCGATTATATACATCTGTCAGCAACGGGTGTGGCTGAAATAGCCAAATCCACTAATTTGAAAGGGTGTCTACATACTTTTGTATATATAGTGGGGTTCACTATGCATTATTGGCTAAAGCACACCCCCAAGCGTGCCATCATCTTGATAACAGTAAGCCTGCACACTATAAACAGTAGACAAGCTGACAGAAGAGTGTGAAATACTTGGAAAATGCAACCACATTTGACAATCCATTCAACCAATCATTTTACCATTCAAAGCACATGCAGTATCTGTGTATGCTGTATGTGTTTTCTTTAAACCCAATAACCTGTGAAAGTTCATACTTCACAAACAGCAAAATGTAAACAAAACTGGAGCCACCATTTTTGTAGGCAGGAACAAAGACCAGAAGCAGCGTTATGGTATTTAGCCCAAGAGTATAGGAGCAGCAGTAGCTCTAGCTAGCTTAATAACTGTGGTGTGAAATATTTACACTTTTACAGTTAGTTAGTTAGCAACCGTTTCTTCGCTAGCTACGGTAACGCTCCCTTATAATGCCTCAAAAAAAATTGTTTACTGATTCTTTAGTTGTTCCAAAGAGAACGTGTTCTCTGCTTCTTCCAGAGAAGGTCTGATGAGTTTGCTTTGGTACATTTCAGCTCTCACCTTAAACTCAGGTTATATCACTGATGCACACCAATGAGTCAGTAGCTAGTCCACTGTGTGTTTTGTAAGGGCACAAACTGCCTCAGGGGTAGGACAACCATGCATGTGAGGACACAAGGACACACTCTGCTGAGGGGGGTGTGTGTGTGTTTGTGTGCACACTTGACCTTGATGACAATGAGCATTTCAGCATTCATCTCTGACCTCCATGTTGTGGCTGTAAGGAAACCCATATTGGATGAGGTAGTAAGCACCTAAAGAATCACTGTGCTTTGGAGGATGAACTGTTCCTCTTGAGACTGTGTCCGTGTGCATGGATGCATCCCGCCTAGGGGGCCATGTGTAAGTACAAGTTTTGCCTAGGGGGCCGTGTGTAAGTACAAGTTTTGCCTAGGGGGCCGTGTGTAAGTACAAGTTTTGCCTAGGGGGCCGTGTGTAAGTACACGTTTTGCCTAGGGGGCCATGTGTAAGTACAAGTTTTGCCTAGGGGGCCATGTGTAAGTACATGTTTTGCCTAGGGGGCCGTGTGTAAGTACAAGTTTTGCCTAGGGGGCCATGTGTAAGTACACGTTTTGCCTAGGGGGCCATGTGTAAGTACAAGTTTTGCCTAGGGGGCCGTGTGTAAGTACAAGTTTTGCCTAGGGGGCCATGTGTAAGTACAAGTTTTGCCTAGGGGGCCGTGTGTAAGTACAAGTTTTGCCTAGGGGGCCGTGTGTAAGTACAAGTTTTGCCTAGGGGGCCGTGTGTAAAGTGTACACCAAGGTTATTATAGTTTTGTGTTTTTAGAGTTTTTATTTCTATTCGTTAGTTTCAGTTATTTTTCAGATCTGATTGACAAGTTTTTATTTAGTTAACATTTTATAAAAACATTTCTATTTCGTTTTTATATTATTTCATTTCAGTTTTAGTTTTAGTGTTAGCGACAAAAAGTAACCTTTGCTTGGGAGGCTAGGAGCCATGTATGTGTTGTATAGTTTTTGTGATTTATTGGAGGTCACTACATGTCAATGTGGGGCAGTAATGCATAAGGTGATACAAATAATAATAATAACAATTTATTACATTTGTAAAGCGCAAAGTGCTTAAATTAAAATGTAAAAACCAAATATAAATAAAATGCACAACTAGACAGGGCAACTGACACAAAGAACCCAGCTGACGCTACAAGGGACAAGGACACCAAGGACATCAACAGAAAGCCTTCCTTAAAGGTAGACTCAGCAATATGGCATAAATGCAGAAAGTAAACAGAATAGTGGGTCAATTTCTGCAACAACTATGAGCGTTGAAGTGTGAAGCGAACCCTTGCACATGCACAGATACTCTGTGTAACTGAGAGTTTTTCCGCCCCCCAAAAACACAAAAATTAAAAACATTAAACTGAACTTAATTCATGATGGTTTTTATTTTTATTTTAGTTAGCTTTGGAGTCAAAGGTAATATTTTCAGTATAGTTTTAGTTTTTCAAATGGGTTTGTAAATTATTTTATTTCAGTTTACTAAATAGTTTTTTCATTATAATTTTTTTGTTTTAGTTTCAGTTATAGTTTACTAAAATAACCTTGGTGTACACTCTGCCTAAGGGGACTGTGTGTGTGTAAGTATACTCTACATAGGGGGCTTTGTGTAAGGGTACACTCTGCCAAGAAGGGACGTGTGTAAATATACACTCTACCTAAGAGGCTGTGTGCAACTACACACTGCCGTGGGGACTGTCCGTCGAGGGACTCAATATAACTAGAAGTATTTTCTCAGCTGTGTGAAGGGGCACATTCTGCCTGCCTGGATGGCAGTACAACATATGCCTACACCTGGTAACCCAAAGCTACTAAAGACATATTCAGCCATGATTCTTTATTGAACCCCCCCTCATGGACAACCCATAGAATAACCCAAAGACACAACCTAACCCCTCCCCCCCCACCCCCCCCACATGGACAACCCGTAGAATAACCCAAAGACACCGACCTAAAGCGACTCTGGCCGCAGACGCGTCATAGTTGATCCAGAAGGAGACCCAGGATAGGATGGTGATCAGGGTCGAGGGCATGTAGGTCTGTAGGATGAAGTAGCCAATGTTCCTCTTCAGCTTAAAACTCAGAGAGAGCCTCGGGTAGGAGCCTGGGAGACCAAACACAGTTTTCACGTCGGAGTAGGATGAAGTTTCCCGCTAGACGCTGAACTAAGGTCAGTTTAGCATTTAGGGGTAAGATTATCCTATTTTCTGTGCCTGAGAGAACTTCTACCCGGTGCTTATGTGGCAGTTACAATCTGCCACACTCTCTAACGTTAGACACTCTTAAGTGGAACATCAGAAACTTTAATTAATAATACACTCTTGTAAGGGTTAGTAATCAGATTGTTACCTGTAGCAAACACTGCTTTTGTGGATTGGATGTGGTAGTCTATAATAGAGAATTGGGGCAGTTCGATGTTCTCCACCCCAGTCACTGAATTATCACCTTTCCAGTAGAACTCGATGTCATCAGTGGTGTACCCATCTGCGAGAGGGAGAGACTGTTACATCATCTAAAATGGACAGACAGAAGGCTATCGTATGTCACGGGCAGTGTACCCAGCTGAGAATCTGACAGAATGGAAAGTCATTCAACATGGACAGGCAGAAACCTGTGTCATTGAGAGTTTACTTGTCTGAAGCGGAGGCTCAAGTCTTTTTCTAACACTTCTCTTTGCCTGGTCTTAGATGGAACAGGAATGAAACAGTCAGTTATTGGCCTTTCAGTAATTAGGCAAACTTAATTGGACTGGGTTGGCTTTTTCTCCCCTCAGCTTATCTAAAGGGAACCGCAGGATTTCTGGGAATTAGCTGCTTCTCATTACTGCCTGTACTCAATCAGTGGTTTTGTCTTTCTTCCCCATTCACTTAATTTATGTGTGAGAGGGTCTTGGGTTATCACATCACCCCTGATGCCATAAGGGTATGGGAGAATGATGTGTAAAGAAATGTGTAGACCAATATGGAGATAGTTGATTTCAATGAGACTGCGAAGAATAGCGCAGCAGCACTGGAGATGTGTTCCCATGTATCTGTGTCCACAGCCAGAAACTGGACCAGGTTGTCCACAGCCAGAAACTGGACCAGGTTGTCCACAGCCAGAAACTGGACCAGGTTGTCCACAGCCAGAAACTGGACCAGGTTGTCCACAGCCAGAAACTGGACCAGATTGTCCACAGCCAGAAACTGGACCAGGTTGTCCACAGCCAGAAACTGGACCAGATTGTCCACAGCCAGAAACTGGACCAGATTGTCCACAGCCAGAAACTGGACCAGATTGTCCACAGCCAGAAACTGGACAAGATTGTCCACAGCAAGAAACTGGACCAGATTGCCCACAGCTAGAAACTGGACCAGATTGTGTACAGACAGAAACTGGACCAGATTGTCCACAGACAGAAACTGGACTTTGCATCTGAAAAACAGATAATATCTTCCATTTTAAGGCCTGGCCACATCAGCGCTAGCAGTAACCTTAAAGTCTTGATTGTTCTTTTTTAAATACTTTTTTTAGTTTTGTATTTTTTTTAGGGGGTAGATCAGCTTTAATATTGTAGATACAGTAGATTGTGGCTTCTATCAATGTAATTGTCTGCATCATTTCTAATCCCCCATATTTTTTGGGGTATATATTGTCCCCTGTAGCTCAGTTGGTAGAGCATGGTGCTTGCAACGCCAGGGTTGTGGGTTCGTTTCCCATGGGGGGCCAGTATGAAAATGTATGCACTCACTAACTGTAAGTCGCTCTGGATAAGTGTGTCTGCTAAATGACTAAAATATACAGTACCAGTCAAAAGTTTGGACACACCTACTCAGTCAAGGGTTTTTCTTTATTTTTACTATTTTCTACATTGTAGAATAATAGTGAAGACATCAACACTATGCAATAACACATATGGAATCATGTAGTAACCAAAAAAGTGTTAAACAAATCAAAATATGTTTTATATTTGAGATTCTTCAAAGTAGCCACCCTTTGCCTTGATGACAGCTTTCCACACTCTTGGCATTCTCTCAACCAGCTTCATGAGGAATGCTTTTCCAACCGTCTTGAAGGAGTTCACACATATGCTGAGCACTTGTTGGCTGCTTTTCCTTCACTCTGCGGTCCAACTCATCCCAAACCATCTCAATTGGGTTGAGGTCGGGTGATTGTGGAGGCCAGGTCATCTGATGAGTAGGTGTGTCCAAACTTTTGACTGGTATTGTATATAATTTTTTATATATACACTACCGGTCAAAATATTTAGAACACCTACTCATTCAAGGGTTTTTCTTTATTTTTTTACTATTTTCTACATTGTAGAATAAAAGTGAAGACATCAAAACTATGAAATAACACATATGGAATGATGTAGTAACAATTTTTTTTTTTTAACAAATCAAAATATATTTGAGATTTGAGATTCTTCAAATAGCCACCCTTTGCCTTGATGACAGCTTTGCACACTCTTGGCATTCTCTCAACCAGCTTCACCTGGAATGCTTTTCCAACAGTCTTGAAGGAGTTCCCACATATGCTGAGCACTTGTTGGCTGCTTTTCCATCACTCTGCAGTCCGACTCATCCCAAACCATCTCAATTTGGTTGAGGTTGGGGGGATTGTGGAGGCCAGGTCATCTGATGCAGCACTACATCACTCTCCTTCTTGGTCAAATAGCCCTTACACAGCCTGTAGATGTGTTGTGTCATTGTCCTGTTGAAAAACAAATGATAGTCCCACGAAGGCCAAACCAGATGGGATGGCGTATCGCTGCAGAATGCTGTGGTAGCCATGCTGGTTAAGTGTGCCTTGAATTCTAAATAAATCACAGACAGTGTCACCAGCAAAGCACCCCCACACCATAACACCTCTTCCTCCATGCTTTACGGTAGGAAATACACATGCGGAGATCATCCATTCACCCACACTGCGTCTCACAAAGACACAGCGGTTGGAACCAAAAATCTCAAATTTGGACTCCAGACCAAAGGACACATTTCCACCGGTCTAATGTCCATTGCTCGTGTTTCTTGGCCCAAGCAAGTCTCTTCTTCTTATTGGTGTCCTTTAGTAGTGGTTTCTTTGCAGCAATTCCACCATGAAGGTCTCTTCTGAACAGTTGATGTTGAGATGTGTCTGTTACTTGAACTCTGTGAAGCATTGAAAGAAATTCCACAAATTAAAATTTAAGAAGGCACACCTGCTAATTGAAATGCATTACAGGTGACTACCTCATGAAGCTGGTTGAGAGAATGCCAAGAGTGTGCAAAGCTGTCATCAAGGCAAAGAGTGGCTATTTGAACCCGATCGAACATCTCTGGAGAGACCTGAAAATAGCTGTGCAGCGACACTCCCCATCCAACCTGACAGAGCTTGAGAGGATCTGCAGAGAAGAATGGGAGAAACTCCCCAAATACAGGTGTGTCAAGCTTGTAGGGTCATACCCAAGAAGACTCAAGGCTGTAATTGCTGCCAAAAGTACTTCAACAAAGTACTGATTAAAGGGTCTGAATACTTACACTACCGGTCCAAAGTTTTAGAACACCTACTCATTCAAGGGTTTTTCTTAATTTTTACTATTTTCAACATTGTAGAATAATAGTGAAGACATCAAAACTATGAAATAACACATATGGAATCATGTAGTAACCAAAAAAGTGTTAAACAAATCAAAATATATTTTATATTTGAGATTCTTCAAACAGCCACCCTTTGCCTTGATGATAGCTTTGCACACTCTTGGCATTCTCTCAACAAGCTTCATGATGTAGTCACCTGAAATGCATTTCAATTAGCAGGTGTGCCTTCTTAAAAGTTAATTTGTGGAATTTCTTACCTTCTTAATGCGTTTGAGCCAATCAATTGTGTTGTGACAAGGTAGGGGGGGTATACAGAAGATAGCCCTATTTGGTAAAAGACCAAGTCCATATTATGGCAAGAACAGCTCAAATAACCAAAGAGAAACGACAGTGCATCATTACCTTAAGACATGAAGGTCAGGCAAAAACCATCAAGCGCTATAATGAAACTGGCTCTCATGAGGACCGCCACAGGAATAGAAGACCCAGAGTTACCTCTTCTGCAGAGGATAAGTTCATTACTAGCCTCAGAAATTGCAGCCCAAATAAATGCTTCACAGAGTTCAAGTAACAGACACATCTCAACATCAACTGTTCAGAGGAGACTGTGTGAATCAGGCCTTCATGGTCGAATTGCTGCAAAGAAACCACTACTAAAGGACACCAATAATAGAAGAGACTTCCTTGGGCCAAGAAACACGAGCAATGGACATTAGACCAGTGGAAATTTGTCCTTTGGTCTGGAGTCCAAATTGGAGATTTTTGGTTCCAACTGCCGTGTCTTTGTGAGACGTGGTGTGGGTGAACGGATGATCTCCGCGTGTGTATTTCCCACCATAAAGCATGGAGGAGGTGGTGTTATGGTGTGGGGGTGCTTTGCTGGTGACACTGTCTGTGATTTATTTAGAATTCAAGGCACACTTAACCAGCATGGCTACCACAGAATTCTTCAGCGATACACCATCCCATCTGGTTTGGGCTTAGTGGGACTATCATTTGTTTTTCAACAGGACAATGACCCAACACACCTCCAGGCTGTGTAAGGGCTATTTACTAAGAAGGAGAGTGATGGAGTGCTGCATCAGATGACATGGCCTCCACAATCCCCCCCGACCTCAACCAAATTGAGATGGTTTGGGATGAGTCAGACAGCAGAGTGAAGGAAAAGCAGCCAACAAGTGCTCAGCATATGTGGGAACTCCTTCAAGACTGTTGGAAAAGCATTCCAGGTGAAGCTGGTTGAGAGAATGCCAAGAGTGTGCAAAGCTGTCATCAAGGCAAAGGGTGGTTTTTGAAGAATCACAAATATAAAATATAGTTGTATTTTTTTTTTTTTTAAATGGTTACTACATGATTCCATAGTTTTAATGTCTTCACTATTATTCTTAAATATAGAAAATAGTAAAAAATGAAGAAAAACCCTTGAATGAGTAGGTGTTCTAAAACTTTTGACCAGTAGTGTATGTAAATGTGATATTTTTTATGTTTAATAAATTAGCAAACATTTCTAAAAACCAGTTTTTGCTTTGTCATTATGGGGTATTGTGTGTAGATTAATGAGGGGAAAAAACATTTTAATCCATTTAAAATAAGGCTGTAACGTAACAAAATGTGCAAAAAGTCAAGGGTTCTGAATCCTTTCCGAATGCACTGTATATAACATTCTATTGTTTGCAAGAATTTTGTACAATCATTTATATTGAAAAAATCTCTTGTTTTGAATCCAGCGTCATTTTGTGTATCAGTTCATAAACCATGTTCCATGGAATCGGTACATTGAAAATCTCCCAACTATTTTGCAACCTGTATGGCGCAGCTGTATATTTTTTGGTTCTTAAATGAAACTGGTATACCTTTTTATCTATCACAATTTTCTTTAGCCAATTTTTGTCTTTAATGCAGGGCCGACAGACAAGTGCCT